GCCATAGTTGGAATGTACACAAGTATACAAAACATTAGGAACACCTGCTCTTTCCATGACATAGACTGACCAGGTGAATCCAGGTGAACGTTATGATCCCTTATTGATGTCACTAGTTAAATCCACTTCAGTCAGTGTAGATAAAGGGGAGGAGAACGGTTGAAGAAGAATTAATTGGTTTTTATGGCCCTTGGTGTCCAGTCCGATATACAATACAGGCCCCAAAGAGATTAACTCTGCTTATCAAAATGGCAGATTAATTAATCAGTCAAACAATGTCATTATAGTGAAGACATCTCACTCAGAGTTGATTTACCCCTAACAGTGCATAAAGATTTTACAACTAATATGCAGTAATTAGCCGTGGCGATGAAGTTGTATAATTGCGCTGTTGTTTCCTTATAGCTACTCTCCCAGTTAGTCCTCTGTACTCTCCCGTCCCATCTTTGTTTTATGGGGTTAGAGAATAAAAACAAGTTAATGCAGAGCGATAGATCATGCCAGTTCTTAGGCTGGTCCGCCATTTTTAACAATGTAGCATTTAACCAGAAGAGTGAAGCTAATTATTTCAAATGACAGCTCGTGAAACAGTATTAATGTTTCTTTTCTACATGGATACATCTAATATTACGCACTGATGAAGAGTGTCTGAAATTAGAATTTAAAAGAAAGAACTAGCAGGGGAAACATGCAGAGATGAAGGCCTAGATTTCAAATTCAAATAGAACATGTTGAAATTGAAATGGGTGTTGTTCAAATAGAACATGACTTCATGACATGATTATTAGAGATTTGTCTGAATTGCAATTATATTTTAACTGCTCCAGTGACACTGACATTCATTTTTTTTTTAATTAAAAATTAACCTTTATTTAACCAGGTAAGCCAGTTGAGAACAAGTTGACATCAAAACTATGAAATAACACATATGGAATCAAGTAGTAACCAAAAAAGTGTTAAACAAATCAAAATATATATATTCTTCAAATAGCCACCCTTTGCCGTGATGACAGCTTTGCACACTCTTGGCATTCTCTCAACCAGCTTCACCTGGAATGCTTTTCCAACAGTCTTGAAGGAGTTCCCACATATGCTTAGCACTTGTTGGCTGATTTTCCTTCACTCTGCGGTCCGATTTATCCCAAACCATCTCAATTGGGATGAGGTTGAGGGATTGTGGAGGCCAGGTCATCTGATGCAGCACTCCATCACTCTCCTTCTTGGTAAAATAGCCCTTACACAGCCTGGAGGTGTGTTGGGTCATTGTCCTGTTGAAAAACAAATGATAGTCCCACTAAGCCAAAACCAGATGGGATGGCGTATCGCTGCAGAATGCTGTGGTAGCCATGCTGGTTAAGTGTGCCTTGAATTCTAAATAAATCACAGACAGTGTCACCAGCAAAGCACCCCCACACCATAACACCTCCTCCTCCATGCTTTACGGTGGGAACTACACATGCAGAGATCATCCGTTCACCCACACCGTGTCTCACAAAGACTGGCTGCAATTTCTGAGGCTGGTAACTCTAATGAACTTATCCTCAGCAGAGGTAACTATGGGTCTTCCATTCCTGTGGTGGTCCTCATGAGAGCCAGTTTCATCATAGCGCTTGATGGTTTTGCGACTGCACTTGAAGAAACTTCCAAAGTTCTTGAAATGTTCTGTAATGACTGACCTTCATGTCTTAAAGTAATGATGGACTGTTGTTTCTCTTTGCTTATTTGAGCTGTTCTTGCCATAACATGGACTTGGTCTTTTACCAAATAGGGCTATCTTCTGTATACCCCCCCCCCCCCCCCCTACCTTGTCACAACACAACTGATTGGCTCAAATGCATTAAGAAGGAAAGTAAATCTACAAATTAACTTTTAAGATGGCACACCTGTTAATTGAAATGCATTCCAGGTGACTACCTCATGTAGCTGGTTGAGAGAATGCCAAAAGTGTGCAAAGCTGTCATCAAGGCAAAGGGTGGCTATTTGAAGAATCTCCAATATAAAATATAATTTGATTTGTTTAACACTTTTTTGGTTACTACATGATTCCATGTGTGTTATTTCATAGTTTTGATGTCTTCACTATTATTCTACAATGTAACAAATAGTAAAAATAAAGAAAAACCCTGGACTGAGTAGGTGTGTCCAAACTTTTGACCGGTAGTGTACATGGAGTGTACAAAACAATAAGAACATCTTCACCCCGTCAGAACAGTCTCAATTCATCTGGACATGGACTCTACAAGGTGTCGAAATCGTTCCAAAGGGATGCTGGCTCATGTTGACTCCAATGCGTCCCACAGTTGTGTCAAGTTGGTGGATGTCCTTCGGGTGTTGGACCATTCTTGATACACACAATAAATTGTTGAGCGTGAAAAACCCAGCAGTGTTGCAGTTCTTGACACAAACCGGTGCGCCTGGCACCTACTACCATTCCCCGTTCAAAGGCACTTAAATATTTTGTCTTGCACATTCACCCTCTGAATGGTACACATACACAATCCATGTCTAAAGGCTTAAAAATATTTCCTTAACCCGTCTCCTCCCCTTCATCTACACTGATTGAAGTGGATTTCTTGACATCAAGTAGGGATCATAGCTTTCACCTGGTCAGTCTATGTCATGGAAAGAGCAGGTGTTCTTAATGTTTTGTACAATCAGTGTGTGTATATAACATATAGTGTCCAGAGATACACTTTCAAGTCAACTAGTCTCTACCAGGAAGAGGAGCCTTAGTCAGACATTTTGAAGAAAAAAATAGGTCTATCCCTCAGAGTGATTCACTTTGACTGAATTATAACTCATTCTGTCAAATGTTAATCTTACAATAATGTTATACAATCTTACACTGTTATTAGCCCATAAATTACTGGGCAGCTCTTCCTGTCATGGTTGAGGGATTTATAGCAACAAGGGTCCTTCTATTCTAAGACACAAAATTATAATTTTTTGTGTTCATTCAATCTAATGTTGTGTTCATTCAATCTAATGCACGTGTCAGAAGTATGGAAGTAGGCCTAGATATTTAAACAAAACAAACATTTCAGAGAGATGACAACACTTGAATATGCTAGTATGCACGTCTTCTCAGCATGTCAGAGCACCTATTCAGAATGTCAGTGGAACATTCTGTACTGTAGCAAAGACTGTCACAGAGGGAGATTAATGATGATAAAAGTTGAAAAGATTAAGAGACATTTCCCCCAAATAATCATTGCTTACATTGCCAGAGCCATTATGGAAGCTTATTTAGGGAAGAGTGGGGTAAGTTGCGCCAAAAGGTTAGTTGAGTCCAAAGGTTAGTTGAGTCACCCCTTGTTTCAAGGAAACCATACACAAAATTGATAATTTGACCAAATATTTCAGAAGAGGTCATCATTTCTTGGAGTCTGTGAAGGAAGAAACCACATGGAAAAGTGGTACGCAACTTAGGTCCAAAAAACAGATTTTCACCAAGTCAAATGAATTGATTGTGTTTGAGGTTTCATGATGCTTGCATCTAAACCAATGTAGATACTTTTAAGATTGTTCTATACATCAGTTGGGGTCTCTATAAGCTTCAACATGAGGTCCTAAACCTAGAATGAAAGTGCTTCCTTGTAGCTGTAGGGGCTAATATAGTCAAAATGTTTGCCTTGGGGTAAGTTGAGCCCATGGCCATGGGGTAAGTTGAGCCAATGGCAAGTTGAGCAAATTGAAGTGTTTTCTAATGCAAGGCATTATCGCTGGGATATGAAGTAACACCAGGGCCTATGTTAAAAGTTTTTTAAGTACAAAAATGTTTTTAGGTGTTATGCCTGTGTTAAAATATGATGATTAAAAGACACACAAAAAAAGTTGTGATTGTGTTGAATTGTGTTTGGGAAATAAAGATAGACATGGTTTTAAAAAAGGTAGTGGTAATATTTCATTTAGTACAGAAATATGTAGGGCTCTCAACTTACCCTGTCCATATTTTCATCTTACCCCAAACACGAGGTCAGATGTGCCAAGAAACTTCTTATTTTATTTTTTTCGCATGCTATGTTTTGAAAACTGTAATGTTTATTTCCAGGAATACACAACATCCTGAAATACAGTACCAGTCAAAAGTACAGTATGTGTTATTTAATAGTTTTGATGTCTTCTACAATGTAGAAAATAGTCAAAAATAAAGAAAAACCCTGGAATGAGTAGGTGTGTCCAAACTTTTGACTGGTACTGTATATGTAGATATCTTTGTTAGAAATAATACTATATTTCCCTTGAAAGAGTGATACTGAATGTAAAAAATGGCTCAACTTACAACACTCTCTCCAACAGTACAGTATTGATGCATTTTATTTGGAAGCCATATATGTGATCATGCAAATCTACATGAAGAAGTATGAGCAACTCTGGCACATTTTTTTAAAGTCATTTAGCAGACGCTCTTATCCAGAGCAACTTACATGAGCAATTAGGGTTAAGTGCCTTGCTCATGGGCACATCGACAGATTTTTCACCTAGTTGGCTCGGGGATTAGAACCAGCGACCTTTGGATTACTGGCACAACGCTCTTAACCACTAAGCTACCTGCCGCCCCCATTCAAAGGATGACACATAGAAACATTTGTAAAGTGCTATTTCCTTACTGTGCTATTTCCTTACTGTGCTATTTCCTTACTGGGCTATTTCCTTACTGGGCATTATTCTCTTGTATAACCCAATTCTCAGGGTTATCACTAGTTACCACAGCCACGGTCAAAATTGGCTATATCGTAAAAATGTATGAAAACACACATTTGCTTTTTGGTCCTAATCTAAGGTTTAGGCATAAGGTTAACAGTGTGGTTAAGGTTAGGTTTAAAATAACTTTTTAAGAAGATACATTTTAGAAATGGGCGGGGTTTATGACTTTGTGGCTGTGTTAACTAGCAATTCTCAGTTGCGTTTTTGAGGCTCTTTTGTAGTGCTAAAGCGACCTCTGCTGGTCATCGCGGAAATAACCAGCTGCTTCTTTTCTGTATTTCCGTTTCCGTGTAAACAAAACAACATGGCAGCCCACGTAGGTACTGGCATGGAGATTTAGAGTTGTACTTTTATAGCTTAGCATTTCTAAACTCGACAATATGAGCGACTCAAATTGTCAGTGTGCTGCTCTACAGTTCTATTGCACTGCTGGGAACGGCATGGAGCCTTTCCTGATTCAGGAGGTGAAGACCAAACTTGCAGCCAAAGATGTGAGTAATCGAGACAAAAGTTAGTTTCAGGCTACAATATTAGTCTAGCTAGTAATAATGTGCAATGAATCTATATGAAACACTAGCCAATAAAGTAATACCTTTTATATAAAATGGTCCTCCTCGAAGCTAGCTGGAAGCCAGGCAGTTGACTGCGCATGCATATTGCATAGGTTTGCTGCTTGTAATAAAGTCAATCGTAAATCCTGGCTTTGTATTAATCTTTTCTTCTTAACAAGTGGTAATTTCATGTTGTTGACATGATTATATGTTAGGTTATTCTTATCTTGCACTAAATAATGTGTATTGTTTAGGTGGATCACATCCCTGGAAAAGTGTTCTTCACCACCACTTTTGGAATAAAGCAAGTGAGGGAGCTGAAATCTGCAGAGAGGCTGTTTCTACTTCTAAAGCGACACTCCCCTCTCTCGGCCCATACAGGTAAGCCTAACAAATATTCTGTATGAATATTTATCCTCTCTGATTAAAAGTATGAAGCTGCAATTAAATGTTTTGCACTGGACATTATCTTTTTACTGTATTTATTTTTCTGTCACACTCAGTTAAGACACCATCTGGGATCCAGTCAAGGCTCATGGGTGATGGGAGTGACTGGACCAGAGCTGTGTTGTCATGGAGACGCCTGCAGAGAGACCTGATGATGAGAAGCAACTGTACATTGAGTGTGTCCCTACCAGGGAGGAAGAGGAAGAGGGAGGAAGAGGAGGAAAAAGAGAGTGGTGTTGAGGGGTCAACTTGTAACGGACCAAATGGAACACAGAAGCTGGGACTAGAGGGAGAGCGAAAAGAATTAGGACTGAGCAAGGATCACATTTCATCAACAGAAGACTCTGGAAGTGGAAACTGTGTTGCAGGGGACAAAGTTGAAGAGGACCGTATAGAAGGCAGCTGTGATGGAAAGACATCCACAGTGTCTTTCAGAGTGAGCTGTCGGTGCAGTGGAGCCCTGTCCAGACGTTTCTCTCCCCAGGTATACACTTTGGAGGAGAGGAGGTATTTTTCACATCTTTACTTCTTAAGGGAACTGGTAGGTTTCAGGTTATTGTGGTGGTTTTTAACGGGGTGAGAGAGGAGGATTTGACTTTGTCCTGTTTGTGATGGTGTCTGTCTGTCTAGGATCTGAGTAGGATCATTGGAACAGCGGCGAGCAGACAGCTGGGCTGGAGAGTGGACCTGAGGAAACCAGATCTGGAGGTAATATTAACTTTATATGGTCCCCACCCTAACATGGAGGTAATCTGGAGGTAATATGAACTTTATATGGTCACCACCCTAACATGGAGGTAATTTTGAGGTAATATTAACTTTATATGGTCACCACCCTAACATGGAGGTAATCTGGAGGTAATATTAACTTTATATGGTCACCACCCTAACATGGAGGTAATCTGGAGGTAATATTAACTTTATATGGTCACCACCCTAACATGGAGGTAATTTGGAGGTAATATTAACTTTATATGGTCACCACCCTAACATGGAGGTAATCTGGAGGTAATGTTAACTTTATATGGTCCCCACCCTAACATGGAGGTAATCTGGAGGTTATATTAATCTAGCCATAACCATAATTAGATGATTACCACAACCTGTGAGGAGATTCTCATATTTCTTTGCCTGACCTTGCCAAGTGTCAAAGTCCATTTAACTATTCCGCAGTCAGGCATGTACACTATACTGTTTATACACTGAACAAAAATATAAAGGCTAACATGTAAAGTGTTGGTGCCATGTTTCGTGAGCTGAAATAAAAGATCCCAGACATTTTCTAGACGCACAAAAAGCTTATTTCTCTCACATTTTGTGCAAACATTTGTTTACATCCCTGTTAGTGAGCATTTCTCCTTTGCCAAGATAATCCATCCACCTGACAGGTGTGGCATATCAAGAAGTAGATTAAACAGCATGATCATTACACAGGTGCACCTCGTGCTGGGAACAATAAAAGCCCACTCTATAATGTGCAATTTTGTCACACAACACAATGCCACAGATGTCTCAAGTTTTGAATGCGCATGCAATTGGCATGCTGCCTGCAGGAATGTCCATCAGAGCTGTTGCCAGAGAATTGAATGTTCATTTCTCTACCATATGTTGACTCCAATGTCATTTTAGAGAATTTGGCATTACGTCCAACCGGCCTCACTTAAAAAAATAAATCACCTTTATTTAACCAGGTAAGCCAGTTGAGAACAAGTTCTCATTTACAACTGCGACCTGGCCAAGATAAAGCAAAGCAGTGCGATAAAAACAACAACAAAGAGTTACATATGGAATAAACAAAACGTACAGTCAACAACACAATAGAAAATCTATATACAGTGTGTGCAAATGTAGTAAGTTATGGAGGTAAGGCAATAAATAGGCCATAGTGTAAAATAATTGGTTGCAGCAGAGGGTGCATATCTGGTGGCCGGGGTAGGGGTAGCCAGGTGGAAAGCATGGCCAGCCGTAGCAAAATGCTTATTGAAATTCTCTATTATTGTAGATTTATTGGTGGTGACAGTGATTCAAGCAATTCACATATGGTGTCCAGGGCACAACTGGGGGCTGAGGGGGGTCTGTAGCAAGCGGCAACAGTTATTAGTGAGAGACTTATTTCTGGAAAGGTGGATTTTTAGAAGTAGAAGCTCAAACTGTTTGGGCACAGACCTGGATAGTATGATAGAGCTCTGCAGGCTATCTCTACAGTAGATTGCAACTCCGCCCCCTTTGGCAGTTCTATCTAGACGGAAAATGTTGTAGTTGGGGATGGAAGTTTCAGAGTTTTTGGTGGCCTTCCTAAGCCAGGATTCAGACACTGCTAGAACATCAGGGTTGGCAGAGTGTGCTAACGCAGTGAATAACTCAAACTTGGGGAGGAGACTTCTGATGTTAACATGCAAGAAATCAAGGCTTTTACGGTTACAGAAGTCAAGAAATGATAGCGCCTGGGGGGTAGGAGTGATACTGGGGGCTACAGTAGCTCAACCGGTAGAGCATGGCGCTTGCAACGCCAGGGTTGTGGGTTCGATTCCCACGGGGGGCCAGTATGAAAAATGTATCCACTCACTAACTGTAAGTCCCTCTGGATAAGAGCGTCTGCTAAATGACTCAAATGTAAATGTAAAATGTACAGGGCCTGGGTTAACCTCTACATCACCAGAGGAACAGAGGAGGAATAGAATAAGGATACGGCTAAAGGCTTTAAGAACTGGTCTTCTAGTGCGTTGGGTACAGAGAATAAAGGGGGCAGTTCTCCGGGCGTTGTAGAATAGATTCAGGGCATTATGTACAGACAAGGAAATGGAAGGATATGAGTACAGTGGAAGTACACCTAAGCATTGGGTAACTATGAAAGAGATAGCATCACTGGAGGTACCGATTGAGCCGCTCTCTGCATGTATGGGGGTTGGGACAAAGGAGCTCTCTGAGGCTGGTTGAGCTGAACTTGGGGCTCTACAGTGAAATTGTATAATAAGAACTAACCCAAACAGCAAATGGCTAGGCATATTGACATGGGAGAGAGGCATAACGCAATCACAGGTGTTATTCGAGAGGGCTAAGACAACAACTGGTAATGGCGATGAAAGTTTGGGCTGAGGCTAAACAGATACACAGGATGGGGTACCGTGTAAAGGAACAGTCCAGCAGGCATTAGCTGTGTAGCTGAGTGATCATAAGGTCCAGTGAACAGCACTAAGTAAGTCCGGGAGCAGATCGTAGGCTGCTAAAGCACAGGCGAGCAGGAGGCACGGCTGTTGATTGTGCGTGCTAGCAGGCCGGGGCTAGCAGATGGATCTTTGTGGTCGTCGCAACGGGAAGCCTGTTGAAACAACATCAGACGATTACGTCGGCAGACCAGTTGTGATGGATCGGTGGGGCTCCGTGTCAACACTAGGAGGTTCCGTCCGGTTGACAGAGGGGTAGATAGCCGGGAGATGGGCCTGGCTCGAGGCTAGCTCAAGGCTAACTGTGGCTAGCTTCGGACAGTGGTGATTAGCCAACAACAACAACAGCCACTCGGTTGCAGCTAGCTAGTTGCAATGATCCGGTGTTAAGGTCCAGTGATTCCGGCAGAAAATCCGATATGCTCTGGCTCGATAGCGCGATGTGCAGACTGTGCAGACTGGCCGATAATTGTCCAGGCTAGAGCTGGCTGGTAGGTAGTGCAGGCCACGGACAATGGTGAAGACCGCTAACGGTGGCTAATAGCAAGTAGCTAGTTAGCTGGCTAGCTGGCTAGTTTCAGCCAGAGGTTCTGGAGGAAAAAATAAAAATAGAATCCGTTCCACATTGGGTGAGGCGGGTTGCAGGAAAGTATATTTAGTTAACGGATGGAAAGTGAGATTGAGAAATATATACGAAAAAGACAAAAAAACAGGCTATTTACATGAGGACACTATAGAAAACACGAACGCACTGCTACGCCATCTTGACCACGTGTATGGTGCCGTGTGGGCGAGCGGTTTGCTGATGTCAACGTTGTGAACTGAGTGCCCAATGGTGGTGGGATTATGGTATGGGCAGGCATAAGCTATGGACAACGAACACAGTTGCAGTTTATCGATGGCTATTTGAATGCACAGAGATACCGTGACGAGATCCTGAGGCCCATTGTCGTGCCATTCATCCGCCGCCATCACCTCATGTGTCGCAAGGATCTGTACACATAAAGCTGAAAATGTCCCAGTAAATATTTTCTTAACTCTATTTTCTTAACTGCATTGTTGGTTAAGGGCTTCTAAGTAAGTATTTCACTGTAAGGTCTACACCTGTTATATTCGGCGCATGTGACAAATAAAATTGGATTTTATTTTATTTTCTTCCATGGCCTGAATACTTACCAGACATGTCACCCATGGAGCATGTTTGGGATGCTCTGCGTCGACGTGTACGACAACGTGTTCTAGTTCCTGCCAATATCCAGCAACTTCACACAGCTATTGAAGAAGAGTGGGACAACATTCCACAGGCCACAATCAACAGCCTGATCAACTCTATGCGAAAGGAGATGTGCCACGCTGCATGAGGCAAATGGTGGTCACACCAGATACTGACTGGTTTCCTGATCCACACCCCTACCTTTTTTTAAAGGTATCTGTGACCAACAGATGCATATCTGTATTCCCAGAAATGTGAAATCCATAGATTAGGGCCTAATGAATTTGTTTCAATTTACTGATTTCCTTATATGAACTGTAACTCAGTAAACATTTTGAAATTACTGCATGTTGCATTTATATTTTTGTAGAGTATACATTACACTGCAGTGCTAAGCCGTGTCAGACTGCACGTACAGTGCCTTCGGAAAGTATTCAGACCACTTGACTTTTTCCACATTTTGTTATGTTAGGGCCTTATTCTAAAATTGATTAAAATAAATAAAAATCCTCATCAATCTACACACAATATACGCCATAATGACAAAGCGAAAACAGGTTTTTGAAATGTTTGCAAATGTATTACGAATAAAATCAGATAACTTATTTACATAAGTATGCAGACCCTTTGCTATGAGACTCGAAATTGAGCTCAGGTGCATCCTATTTCCATTGATCATCCTTGAGATGTTTCTACAACTTCATTGGAGTCCACCTGTGGTAAATTCAATTGATTGGACATGATTTGGAAAGGCACACACCTGTCTATATAAGGTCCCACAGTTGACAGTGCATGTCAGAACAAAAACCAAGCCATGAGGTCAAAGGAATTGTCCGTAGAGCTCCGAGACAGGATTGTGTCGAGGCACAGATCTGAGGAAGGGTACCAAAAAATGTCTGCAGCATTGAAGGTCCCCAAGAACACAGTGGCCTACATCATTCTTAAATGTTAGAAATTTGGAACCACCAAGACTCTTCCTAGAGCTGGCCGCCCGGCCAAACTGAGCAATCGGAGGAGAAGGGCCTTGGTTAGGGAGGTGACCAAGAATCCGATGGTCACTCTGACAGAGCTCTATTGTTCCTCTGTGGAGATGGGAGAACCTTCCAGAAGGACAACCATCTCTGCAGCACTCCACCAATCAAGCCTTTATGGTAGAGTGGCCAGACAGAAGCCACTCCTCAGTAAAAGGCACATGACAGCCCACTTGGAGTTTGCCAAAAGGCACCTAGACTCTCAGACCACGAGAAACAAGATTCTCTGGTCTGATGAAACCAGGATTAAACTCTTTGGCCTGAATGCCAAGCGTCACGTCTGGAGGAAACCTGGCACCATCCTTACGGTGAAGCATGGTGGTGGTAGCATCATGCTGTGGGGATGTTTTTCAGTGGCAGGGACTGGGAGACTAGTCAGGATTGAGGGAATGGAGCAAAGTACAGAGAGATCCTTGATGAAAACCTGCTCCAGAGCTCTCATGACCTCAGACTGGGGCAAATGTTCACCTTCCAACAGGACAACGACCCTAAGCACACAGCCAAGACAACGCAGGAGTGGCTTCGGGACAAGTCTCTGAATGTTCTTGAGTGGCCCAGCCAGAGCCCAGACTTGAACCCGATCAAACATCTCTGGAGAGACCTGAAAATAGCTGTGCAGCAACGCTCCCCATCCAACCTGACAGAGCTTGAGAGGATATGCAGAGAATAAAGGGAGAAACTCCCCAAATACAGGTTTGCCAAGCTTGTAGCGTCATACCCAAGAAGACTTGAGGCTGTAAACGCTGCCAAAGGTGCTTCAACGAAGTACTGAATAAAGGGTCTGAATACTTATGTTAATGTGATATTTTTTATAAATTAGCAAAAATGTCTAAACCTGTTTTTGCTTTGACATTATAGAGTATTGTGTGTAGATTGATGAGGAGAAGAAGAAAAGAAAAAAATATATATAATTTACAATAAGGCTGTAACGTAACAAAATGTGGAAAAAGTCAAGGGGTCTGAATACTTTCCGAAGGCACTGTATGTTAAATAGTAATTGTTGTGCTTGGCCATGGTACAGTACATTAGCCAGACACGACAGAAGTTAATGGCTTCTTTCTGTAGGTTCAGTTAATGCATCACTTTCTTCCACCGTAAAGCTATGTTAATGAATGAATGTATGTGATGTGTTTCGTCTGTAGGTGAATGTGTATATAAGTGATGACCACTGTGTCCTCGGGATACCTCTCCTCAGGTTGGTGACATGATCAGAACCTGTTCTTGCCCTCTGTGTTGACAACCGTATTCAAGTCTATTTCCTTCTGGATATCTCTTCTAGTTGACTATGTCTAATAGTGTCTGCTTCCCTCTTTCTCGCCAGGCTTCCTTTAGCCAACCGGAGTTATATGAAGACTACTGGGCTGAGATCCACTATAGCCTGGGCCATGGCCTCTCTGTCAGACATCAAGGTACTCTAGCTACAGCTGAAGTCGGAAGTTTACATACACTTAGGTTGGAGTCATTAAAACTTGTTTTTCAACCACAAATTTCTTGTTAACAAACTATAGTTTTGGCAAGTCGGTTAGGACATCTACTTTGTGCATGACGCAAGTAATCTTTCCAACAATTGTTTACAGACAGATTATTTCACTTATAATTCACTGTATCACAATTCCAGTGGGTCAGAAGTTTACATACACTAAGTTGACTGTGCCTTTAAACAGCTTGGAAAATTCCAGAAAATGATGTCATGGCTTTAGAAGTTTCTGATAGGCTAATTTACATCATTTGAGTCAATTTGAGGTGTACCTGTGGATGTATTTCAAGGCCTACCTTCAAACTCTGTGCCTCTTTGCTTGACATCATGGGAAAATCAAAAGAAATCAGCCAAGACCTCAGAAAATAAATTGTAGACCTCCAAAAGTCTGGTTCATCCTTGGGAGCAATTTCCAAACGTCTGAAGGTACCACGTTCATCTGTACAAACAATAGTACGCAAGTATAAACTCCATGGGACCAAGCAGCCGTCATACCGCTCAGGAAGGAGACGCGTTCTGTCTCCTAGAGATGAACGTACTTTGATGCGAAAAGTGAAAATCAATCCCAGAACAACAGCAAAGGACCTTGTGAAGATGCTGGAGGAAACAGGTACAAAAGTATCTATATCCACAGTAAAACGAGTCCTATATTGACATAACCTGAAAGGCCGCTCAGCAAGGAAGAAGCCCCTGCTCCAAAACCGCCATAAAAAAGCCAGACTACGGTTTTCAACTGCACATGGGGACAAAGCTTGTACTTTTTGGAGAAATGTCCTCTGGTCTGATGAAACCAAAATAGAACTGTTTGGCCATTATGACCATCGTTATGTTTGGAGGAAAAAGGGGGTGGCTTGCAAGCCGAAGAACACCATCACAACCGTGAAGCACGGGGGTGGCAGCATCATGCTGTGGGGGTGCTTTGCTGCAGGAGGGCCTGGTGCACTTCACAAAATAGATGGCATCATGAGGAAGGAAAATTATGTGGATATATTGAAGCAACATCTCAAGACATCAGTCAGGAAGTTAAAGCTTGGTCGCAAATGGGTCTTCCAAATGGACAATGACCCCAAGCATACTTCCAAAGTTGTGGCAAAATGGCTTAAGGACAACAAAGTCAAGGTATTGGAGTGGCCATCACAAAGCCCTGACCTCAATCCTATAGAATATTTGTGGGCAGAACTGAAAAAGCGTGTGCGAGCAAGGAAGCCTACAAACCTGACTCAGTTACACCAGCTCTGTCAGGAGGAATGGGCCAAAATTCACCCAACTTATTGTGGGAAGCTTGTGGAAGGCTACCCGAAACATTTGACTCAAGTTAAACAATTTAAAGGTAATGCTACCAAATACTAATTGAGTGTATGTAAACTTCTGACCCACTGGGAATGTGATGAATGAAATAAAAGCTGAAATAAATCATTCTCTCTACTATTATTCTGACATTTCACATTCTTAAAATAAAGTGTTGATCCTAACTGACCTAAGACAGGGATTTTTTACTAGGATTAAATGTCAGGAATTGTGAAAAACTGAGTTTAAATGTATTTGACTAAGGTGTATGTAAACTTCCGACTTCAACTGTACCACATGGCATGGAAGGAGTTCCTCTCTCCAGCTCACGTGTTTGGTCTCATCTTCCTCTCTTTGATGTTTGATTGTGTTCTGAGGTTCTGTGCTAACATCAAAAGGACCAAATATCTTATTATCTTCTCACACCGTCGCTTGGCCTGGTGTGTTCTGAATGTGTTCTCTTTCCTCTCTCAACCAGCCTGGCTCTTGTGTGATAGACCCGATGTGTGGAGTGGGAACTATTTTACTGGAAGCTGCACATGAATATCAGGTGAGATTTCTGAGAGAAACCTTTATATTGAATATCAGGTGAGATTTCTGATTGAAACCTTTATATTGAATATCATGTGAGATTTCTGATTGAAACCTTTATTTTGAATATCAGGTGAGATTTCTGATTGAAACCTTTATATTGAATATCATGTGAGATTTCTGATTGAAACCTTTATATTGAATATCATGTGAGATTTCTGAGAGAAACCTTTATATTGAATATCATGTGAGATTTCTGAGAGAAACCTTTATATTGAATATCATGTGAGATTTCTGAGAGAAACCTTTATATTGAATATCATGTGAGATTTCTGAGAGAAACCTTTATATTGAATATCATGTGAGATTTCTGAGAGAAACCTTTATATTGAATATCATGTGAGATTTCTGAGAGAAACCTTTATATTGAATATCATGTGAGATTTCTGAGAGAAACCTTTATATTGAATATCATGTGAGATTTCTGAGAGAAACCTTTATATTGAATATCATGTGAGATTTCTGAGAGAAACCTTTATATTGAATATCATGTGAGATTTCTGAGAGAAACCTTTATATTGAATATCATGTGAGATTTCTGAGAGAAACCTTTATATCGAACCCATTTGAAATGTATGTCATATGGGATGCTTATGTTAGCTTTTTGATGTGGGTGCAGTGAGGGGAGGTAATTGTTTTGTTCAGAAATTCATAGCGATTTTTCTCCAAACAGGATGCCTTTTTTCTAGGTCTTGACATTGATGAGTCTCAGTTGGTGAAAGCCTGTCAGAATGTGGAGTTTGCAAAGTTTGGGGATAGGGTGCAGCTGCTGCAGTCATCATCCAAGGGTAAGAATGCCAATCCACTTCACATGAGGTATTGTTTTTTAACAAACATTGTGAAGTATGCAGTGGCGGCTCCTGAAAAAATTCTCAGGAGGGGCAATTTTTCTGATGATTTAGGTGACCTACACACGTGCACGAGTCCGTGCACGCGATTCCAGATATCTTTACCTCTGAATAAACTGCCTTTATTATACCATATCCACCCTGTCCAAAGTCTCTACTTGGTCTCAGTTCTCCAGTAAACGTGTGATTATCAACAGTACACAACGGTAACAAACAATTGGGGGAACTCACGGGGCAGATAGTAACCACTTAAAAGGAAGCGATTCCCAAACCTTCCATAACAAAGCCATCACCTACAGAGAGATGAACTTGGAGAAGAGTCCCCTAAGTAAGCTTGTCCTGGGCCTCTGTTCACAAACACAAACAGACCCCACACAGCCCCAGGACAACAACAACAACAACAACAACAACACAATTAGACCCAACCAAATCATGAGAAAACAAAAAGAGAATTACTTGACACATTGGAAAGAACAAACAAAAAAACAGAGCAAACTAGAATGCTATTTGGCCCTAAACAGAGAGTACACAGTGGCAGAATACCTGACCACTGTGACTGACCCAAACTTAATGAAAGCTTTGACTATGTACAGACTCAGTGACCATAGCCTTGCTATTGAGAAAGGCCGCCGTAGGCAGACCTGGCTCTCAAGAGAAGACAGGCTATGTGCACACTGCCCACAAAATGAGGTGGAAACTGAGCTGCACTTCCTAACCTCCTGCCAAATGTATGACCATATTAGAGACACATATTTCCCTCAGATTACAGCGATCCACAAAGAATTCGAAAACAAACCCAATTTTGATAAACTCCCTTATCTACTGGGTGAAAAACCACAGTGTGCCATCACAGCTGCAAGATTTGTGACCTGTTGCCACAAGAAAAGGGCAACCAGTGAAGAACAAACACCATTGTAAATACAACCCATATTTATGTTTATTTATTTTCCCATTTGTACTTTAACTATTTGCACATTGTAACAACACTGTATATATACATAATATGACATTTGAAATGTCTTTATTCTTTTGAAACTTCTGAGTGTAATGTTTACTGTTAATATTTATTGTTTATTTCACTTTTGTTTACTATCTACTTCCCTTGCTTTGGCAATGTTAACACACGTTTCCCATGCCAATAAAGCCCTTAAATTGAATTGAATTGATAGTAAGGTCGCAATGACACAGAAAGCAGTTCAATGTCGGGGTACAGAGTCGCTCTCTTACCAGGATCGCGGTCCGCTCTGACCAGGGTGAAGGTGGCCGGCTCCACTTCTCTGCCCGGGACTCATCCAGCCAAGTCTCCCAGCTGTATTGGGATTCAGCTGCCAGCAGCGTTTTCATTATTTAGTCCGTTCGTAGCGGGTATGTACACGATCAACAAGATCAGTCCAAAACCAACCACTGGAAATCCATGGTTGGCAGAATGTTTGTAAACTAAGTCTACAAATTAAAAACATAAAATAACGCCGCACTGCAGGTCGCAACAGAGACGCTTCTAGCCGCCATTGTCTTAGTTACGTTCAACGTTACGTCACGTATGACGAAAGCGCGTAAGTGCAAGCCCACAGACACCCATAGAGAATGTATTGAAAGCTTTGAAATGTGAAAAAAATAGATTTTACATGACAGGCTATGAGAGACTTCTGGGCGATTTTCAACTTGACTGAAATCGCCCCAAAAACGGGCGGGGCCATTTGAAGCACGACTTTAGCCTGATTTGACATTTAGTGGCTGGCAGATCAGACGTGAACACTGATAACTGCTGTTGCCGTGATATAATTGATTAGAAAAAAAATCCCTTCCTTTTCCCGTTTGGCAGTGCGTCGCCCATATCGCCCTATTGAACAAGCCGTCCCTGGAAGTATGCCATTTATGTATGACCATTTCTCATGTATGACCATTTCTCATGTATGACTTTATAAAATTTTGTTCATTCTGACGTATGGACTGTAGATCAAATTAGGTGTTTTAATACATGTAGCAGTTGTCCCTGATATACTGTATGCATTATGGTATTTGTTTACCCACAATGCAGTAAATGATTCTGCATGATTTCCTGATGAATGAATTCCTCCTTGTTTTCCTCCTATGTGTGAAGATATTCCACTGCCTTCCTGTAGTGTGGATGCCGTTGTCTGTGATGTCCCTTTTGGGAAGAAGTTTGGCACCAAGACTGACATGGCTGCCTCTCTTCCAGTGATTGTGAGAGAGATGGAAAGGTATTGTATTTAACTAACTGTAGTATCACGTATTCCAATTTCATAATTGCTCAAATAAACATTCAGGATATAGCAAAAGTTGAGAAAGGAATTGCTTATTGATTTATTGATTTTTAATCAATCAAACATGCATGTTTTTTCAGAGTTCTCCGTGTGGGTGGGACCCTGGTTTTGCTGCTTAGTCCCCAGCTCTCCTGCCTGCTGAAGAAAAGCATAACCCCCAGACCAGTACCCTTACACACCCAGGGAGAGGAGACTGAGGTGGGATTAGTATGTGATGTGGACCCCTTCCTCACCCCAAGCCCTTTCCCCTCACTGCAGTCCCTAGGCTACCACAGAGTGAGCCTGGGAGCTATAGACGCCCTCATCCACAAGTATGTCAAGATACTGACTGCGACTACCACACTCGGTGGACCTGACTGAATAAACACACATACATTCAACCCCTGCATAGTGGATCCTGAGTGAGACTTTTCAGGAGATGGATACACTGGATTCAAGAGACATTCACACAGACTTCAAAGACAATACCACCCGTAAAGCACAGAAAATCATTGCATCAATTTGGCGTGGTTAGAATTTTATGTATGTACTGTACTACCACAAAATGAAGCAAAATGCATAAAAGTCATAGAATGTCAAACCCAATTTTGCTAATACCTTTATTCTATCATTCCAATGACTTTGTTAATGGTGGAAGGAAATAATGCATCTTTCAAGAGTACCTCAGTTTCCCTTTTCAGGAGTCTGAAATTCTTCAGCTCTATTTACAGAATCAGACCATGACTCAGATCCAACAATTATACACTGTCTGGGATTAGATTACAGAATACATCCACTGAGACTAAGGTAAATACACTCAGATTAGGGTCCGCTAGGAGGATAAGGGTTGATATCCATTGATGGGGGGAAATGTTGACTTGGATTTAGGTGCATATGCACAGGGGTTGGCTCTGTGTCCATTGATAAGAGGGTTAATGAATATCCACAGATGAATTTCCTTACAATTTAGGTTAGAGATCTGCTATTCTAAGTATATTCTGTTAGATCCATTATTGTCACGCCCTGGCTCTGGGGACTCTTGTATGTTGAGCCAGGGTGTTAGTTTCTTGGTGTAGTGTCTATGTTTCGTTTTCTATGTTCTGTTCTAGGTTATGTGTTTCTATGTTGGCCGGGGTGGTTCTCAATCAGAGGCAACGAGAATCAGCTGTTGCTTGTTGTCTCTGATTGGGAACCATTCTTAGGCAGCCTGTTGTGCACTTGTGTTTTGTGGGATCTTGTTCTGTGTAGGTTTGTGTTATTGACCGAGGACTTCACGTATCGTTTTGTTATTTTGTTGTTGTATTGTGTCGTGTTGCTAAGTACTATTAAAGTATGTACTCATATCACGCTGCGCCTTGGTCCGCTCATTATGACGAACGTGACAGAAGATCCCACCAATACAGGACCAAGCAGCGTGTCCAGGAGCAAACGCCGGAGGTAACGTTAGTGGATGTCCTCCTCGGTTGGGGGCAGATCACGGAGGAGGAGGCCGTCCGTTACCGGAGGGTGATGAAGGGGGAGACCCAGGCAGGAGAGGAGAAGCGGTGCCAACCGGGCCGTCGTCGGACAGGCGAGAGGCACCCCCAAGACATTTTTTTGGGGGGGGCACACGGCATGGACGACGGGGCTGCTGGAGGCAGATAAAGGGCGAGTTTGTGGACGAGGAGAGAAGGCCACCAGGTTACGGGGGCCATTGGTCAGTAGAGGGAAGGAGAGTGTAGAGGCACGGCGAGAGGTACTGAGGTGTGTTACCAGTCCGGTCCGGCCCGTTCCTGATCCCCACACAAGGCCAGTGGTGTGTGTTCCCAGTACGGTCCGGCCTGTTCCTGTCCCTCGCACCAAGCCTGTGATGCGCGTCGCCGGCCCGGCCTGTTCCTGCCCCTCGCACCAAGTCTGTGGTGCGCGTCGCTAGCCCGGCCTGTTCCTGCCCCTCGCACCAAGCCTGTGGTGCGCGTTGCCAGCCCGGCCCAGCCTGTTCCTGCCCCTCGCACCAAGCCAATGGTGCGCGTCGCCAGCCCGGCCCGGCCTGTTCCTGCCCCTCGCACCAAGCCAATGGTGCGCGTCGCCAGCCCGGCCCGGCCTGTTCCTGCACCTCGCACCAAGCCAATGGTGCGCGTCGCCAGCCCGGCCCGGCCTGTTCCTGCTCCCCGCACCAAGCCTGTGGTGTGCGTCGCCAGCCCGGCCCGGCCTGTTCCTGCCCCTCGCACCAAGCCAATGGTGCGCGTCGTCAGCCCGGTCCGGCCTGTTCCTGCTCCCCGCACCAAGCCAGTGGTGCGCTTCGTCAGCCCGGTCCGGCCCATTCCTGCTCCCCGCACCAAGCCAATGGTGCGCGTCGTCAGCCCGGTCCGGCCTGTGCCTGCTCCCCGCACCAAGCCAGTGGTGCGCTTCGTCCGCCCGGTCCGGCCCGTCCCTGCTCCCCGCACCAAGCCAATGGGTGCGCGTCGTCAGCCCGGTCCGGCCCGTTCCTGCTCCTCCGCACCAAGCCTGTGGTGCGCTTCGTCAGCCCGTCCGGCCCGTCCCTGCTCCCCGAACCAAGCCAATGGTGCGCGTCGTCAGCCCGGTCCGGCCCGTTCCTGCTCTCCGCACCAAGCCTGTGGTGCGCTTCGTCAGCCCGGTCCGGCCCGTCCCTGCTCCCCGAACCAAGCCAATGGTGCGCGTCGCCAGCCCGGTCCGGCCCATTCCTGCTCCCCGCACCAAGCCTGTGGTGCGCATCGTCAGTCCGGCACAGCCCGTGCCTGGTCAGGTACCGGTCAGCTGCTCCACACCGGAGCCTAAGCAATCCGCTCCACCGATGTCCAGTCCAGCTCCAGCCAGCGGGACCAGACCAGGGGCGCTACGGGGGGTTGTTAGAGGGTGGTGGTCACGCCCGGAGCCGGATCCGCCTCCGAGTGTGAATGCCCACCCGGCCCCTCCCCTGTTGGGTTTATGTTGGCGCGGTCGCAGTCCGCGCCTTTGGGGGGGGGTACTGTCACGCCCTGGCTCTGGGGACTCTTGTACAGTGGGGAGAACAAGTATTTGATACACTGCCGATTTTGCAGGTTTTCCTACTTACAAAACATGTAGAGGTCTGTAATTTTTATCATAGGTACACTTTAACTGTGAGAGACGGAATCTAAAACAAAAATCCAGAAAATCACATTGTATGATTTTTAAGTAATTAATTTGCATTTTATTGCATGACATAAGTATTTGATCACCTACCAACCAGTAAGAATTCTGGCTCTCACAGACCTGTTAGTTTTTCTTTAAGAAGCCCTCCTGTTCTCCACTCATTACCTATATTAACTGCACCTGTTTGAACTCGTTACCTGTATAAAAGACACCTGTCCACACACTCAATCAAACAGACTCCAACCTCTCCACAATGGCCAAGACCAGAGAGCTGTGTAAGGACATCAGGGATAAAATTGTAGACCTGCACAAGGCTGGGATGGGCTACAGGACAATAGGCAAGCAGCTTGGTGAGAAGGCAACAACTGTTGGCGCAATTATTAGAAAATGGAAGAAGTTCAAGATGACGGTCAATCACCCTCGGTCTGGGGCGCCATGCAATATCTCACCTCGTGGGACATCAATGATCATGAGGATGGTGAGGGATCAGCCCAGAACTACACGGCAGGACCTGGTCAATGACCTGAAGAGAGCTGGGACCACAGTCTCAAAGAAAATCATTAGTAACACAGTACGCCGTCATGGATTAAAATCATGCAGCGCACGCAAGGTCCCCCTGCTCAAGCCAGCGCATGTCCAGGCCCGTCTGAAGTTTGCCAATGACCATCTGGATGATCCAGAGGAGGAATGGGAGAAGGTCATGTGGTCTGATGAGACAGAAATATAGCTTTTTGGTCGAAACTCCACTCGCTGTGTTTGGAGGAAGAAGAAGGATGAGTACAACCCAAGAACACCATCCCAACTGTGAAGCATGGAGGTGGAAACATCATTCTTTGGGGATGCTTTTCTGCAAAGGGGACAGGACGACTGCACCGTATTGAGGGGAGGATGGATGGGGCCATGTATCGCGAGATCTTGGCCAACAACCTCCTTCCCTCAGTAAGAGCATTGAAGATGGGTTGTGGTTGGTCTTCCAGCATGACAACGACCCGAAACACACAGCCAGGGCAACTAAGGAGTGGCTCCGTAAGAAGCATCTCAAGGTCCTGGAGTGGCCTAGCCAGTCTACAGACCAGAACCCAATAGAAAATATTTGGAGGGAGCTGAAAGTCCGTATTGCCCAGTGACAGCCCCAAAACCTGAAGGATCTGGAGAAGGTCTGTATGGAGGAGTGGGCCAAAATCCCTGCTTCAGTGTGTGCAAACCTGGTCAAGACCTACAGGAAACGTATGATCTCTGTAATTGCTAACAAAGGTTTCTGTACCAAATATTAAGTTCTGCTTTTCTGATGTATCAAATACTTATGTCATGCAATAAAATGCAAATTAATAACTTTAAAATCATACAATGTGATTTTCTGGATTTTTGTTTTAGATTCCGTCTCTCACAGTTGAAGTGTACCTATGATAAATATTACAGACCTCTACATGCTTTGTAAGTAGGAAAACCTGCAAAATCGGCAGTGTATCAAATACTTGTTCTCCCCACTGTATGTTGAGCCAGGGTGTTAGTTTCTTGGTGTAGTGTCTATGTTTCGTTTTCTATGTTCTGTTCTAGGTTATGTGTTTCTATGTTGGCCGGGGTGGTTCTCAATCAGAGGCAACGAGAATCAGCTGTTGCTTATTGTCTCTGATTGGGAACCATTCTTAGGCAGCCTGTTGTGCACTTGTGTTTTGTGGGATCTTGTTCCGTGTAGGTTTGTGTTATTGACCGAGGACTTCACGTATTGTTTTGTTATTTTGTTGTTGTATTGTGTCGTGTTGCTAAGTACTATTAAAGTATGTACTCATATCACGCTGCGCCTTGGTCCGCTCATTATGACGAAAGTGACAATTATGGTCAGAGTACATATCAATGTCAGTTTGAGTCACATCTTTCTATAAATTCTGTCTTCTTTTCTATAATTATTTTCCTTTCAAATAACTGTTTCTGTCTTGTCATTTTCGATGACACATCAAGGCCTCTGTTTTCCCCCAGTGATTTGACAATTACTTGCATGACACTGAATTCTGATCATACATAGAAAATATAATGTGGAAAGGTAGCAGTAGGCTTAATCACAGACATAATCGCATAAAGGCCACCGAAAAAGCCTGGATGCAGGGGTGTAGCTAACATTGATGGTTCCATACTTCCATAAGTCCAGGATGTTTTGCTCAATGGAGGTAACCTAGATTTAGATGTGGGGTCTAGTAGAAGCATGGTTGACTCAGAAGTGTTTTCACACTGAAAACGCAGGCGTCAACATTAGTCCCAGCTCCCAGGCGTCTGCTGCAGCTGTGTCAGACAGATGTCTGGGGATGGTCTTGGTCTGCAGGCTCTTGTTACGGCTCAGAGTTGATGTGAAAGATGCAGTAAGAGGTGTGTCAGACACAGACATATTAGACTCTCTCTTCCTACAGGCCCTTGCTGCAGCTCAGTGTGTGTAACACATTGCAAAATGTATATCAAACGCAGTAAGGTGTGTGTCAGACACCGGCGTTGGGGGCAGCCTTGCCCTGCTGGGCTTTGCTGCTGCTACGGCTGAGGATGGGGAAGATGGTGCACATGCATCCAGACGCCACCATCAGCCCCAGACTGAGCCAGGCACAGAAGCTGGACCAGCTGTAGCCATGCTCCACGTCAGCAGGCAGCCCGTAGATGAAGGGAGGGACCCTGGCCAGGTCGTAGGACACGTTGGCCGCGTATGTACACAGGGAGATGGTGCAGAAGATCCCTGAGAAGGAAGAGAGGAACCGCAAAGAGAGGAGGAGAATGTGAGAGAGAAATCAGTGTTTTAAGAAAACAGACTATCAGTATCGGGGGGGGGGGGTAAACAGTACCTGCCATGAGAAAGAGCAGCCCAGAGACGTGCTGAGTGAGACTCTTCTCCCAGGCGAAGCTGACAGACGCCACAATGCAGCCACACAACAGAACGGCTGCCGCCATGCCTAGAAACCCCGCTGTGATCCGCCGCAGGTCTGAAGGTAGTAGGAGAGCAATAGGATGTCTGAATGAATCAGGCCCTTTAGGGAACCTCCTTCATAATGAGAAAAGGTTCTTACGTAAGAGGTGCCACTCGTCCTGCTGGATGGTGCGGGTCAGGTTGAGAGGGATGTTGCGGAGCCGCATGGGCTGGGAGAAATGGTACTTGATGGTGGTGCATCGCTGGGCTATACCTGCACAGAGACAATAACTTGTGTGAACATAATGTGTAGCAGGTTAAAGCCAAAATATAGAAATGGGCAAGTGTTTCTCAAGGACAGTTGTCTTGAGAAAAGCTGTACTCATTTATAAAGTAGACTCCCCTGTTTCTAGACCCCAAGGTCTACTTTCACTTTAATACCATGATTTATTCTAGCATTGCAAATATTAACTCTATATAATTAGTTCGATAGTATAGTCACCTACACGTTAAGGTTTACTTTGATATTCAGACCCCCATGTCACGTGAACAGACTTCATAATAGGGGTTTAGAGGCTGTAAGTTAGAATTTTCCCCACAAGATGGCAGATTTTATACATCGATCTTCCTCTCGACTGTGAAAGCCTTTACACGGCTGTGAGAAGAGACTAGGAAAAGCCCAACGTGGAAATGCCATATCAACCCCAATAGATCTACATCTCTGATAGGTAACATGTTTTTGAGTGATGTATACTGAACAAAATTATAAACACAACATGTATAGCGTTGGTCCCATGTTTCATGAGCTGAAATAAAAGATCCCAGAAATGTTCCATACGCACAGAAAGCTTATTTCTCTCAAATTTAGTGCACACATTTGTTTACATCCCTGTTAGTGAGCATTTCAACTTTGCCAAGATAATCTATCCACCTGACAGGTGTGGCATATCAAGAAGCTGATTAAACAGCATGATCATTACACAAGGGCACCTTGTGCTGGGGACAATAAAAGGCCACTAAAAAATTTGCAGTTTTGTCACACAACACAATGCCACCAATGTCTCAAGTTTTGAGGAAACGTGCTATTGGCTTGCTGACTGCAGGAATGTCCACCAGATCTGTTGCCAGAGAATTGAATGTTCATTTCTCTACCATAAGCCGCCTCCAATGTAATTTTAGAGAATTGGCAGTACGTCCAACCAGCCTCACAACCGCAGACCACGTGTAACCACGCCTGCCCAGGACCTCCACATCCGGCTTCTTCACCTGTGGGATCGTCTGAGATCAGCCACCCGGACAGCTGATGAAACTGAGGAGTATTTCTGTCTGTAATAAAGCCCTTTTGTGGGGAAAAACTCATTCTGATTGGCTGGGCCAAGTGGGTGGGCCTGGCTCCCAAATGGGTGGGTCTATGCCCTCCCAGGCCCACCCATGGCTTCGCCCCTGCCCAGTCATGTGAAATCCATAGATTAGGGCCTAATTTATTTATTTCAATTGACTGATTTCCTTATATTAACTGTAACTCAGTAGAATTGTTGCATGTTGCGTTTATATTTTTGTTCAGTATAATATTGTCCCTGCTCTTGGAGGCAGCAAAGTAAGTATTGCAGGGATGTGGCATGCTACCATTCCACAAATTATATACCAATATTACAAAAAGTTGGCCTAATGACATTTCCATTTTCACTTACTATATTAATTGGTATACTACATTTTAATTTGAGGAGCCTAGCTGACTAAACTCAACTCCGCGATTTCGAGCTTTTGCGCAAGTTTCCTATTGATTGAGTTCAGAGCATTTTACGTACAGAAGGCGCGCGTTTATCTATTGACATATATTAATGTTGATGTCACGTTATATCCTCATGCAAATTATATGGATCATAGAAATAGAATGTATATTGAACACATGCAACGCTTCCTAGAATGCCTTTCGTGTCAGGTCAAATGTAATGACCTTGATATTCTGTCAGATGCAGTCTGAAACTGATCAGATCAGAGAGCTTCTTTGAGGTCTGTGTGTTGGACACACTCCACAACGCATGCAACCTGTCTACGCACTTAGGCCATAGTGGTTTTCCGAATTAATAGACTTATTATGGACACAACTATACACAACCATGGCTTACAGATGGGCTAGACCCACACAGAATATCCGAGGACAACATGATAGTTTAAAACGTGTTTTGAAGCTATAAAACTACATTTTGGGTTATGATGGGTTTAAGTCAGTTGTAGCCTACTAAGCTCATCCGTTTTCTTCAAGGATCAATTGATATATTCTATCATTAATTGAAATTACCAGTGAACAGCATTGCATGCATTTACAAATAGGCCTACTATATCTTTCACGAAAGTTATAGCCCTACATATTGGGTCGGATGTTAAGTAATATCTCATATTTCACTGGGCCCGGGATCAAATTCCCCAAAGCATCTCTTACCCTTGGATATGAGGTTGTCGATGTCCTTGTCCTTTCCTAGATAATAACATTTCCTCCAAAGTCCAGAGTGAGTGGAGAAAATAGGTCGCCCGCATTCCGTTTCCAAAATTCCCATTCCCAAAATGGACCTCCAGTTTTCCAGGAGCTCCTCTCTACTCCCGACGTGGATCGCCCGGAGCAGCGCCTGGTTCCTCCGAGGATTGCTGCTGTCCATCAGGGGCAGGTGATAGATGGGCATCATCCGGTTCTTCTGTTCGTTGGCGTCCGGCCCGAACTGCTCGCAGTTCTGCCTGTGCCGTGTGGTGTCCGTCTCGTACCAGTGGTCGGTCATGATAGCGGTGATGAGAAGCGCCAGTGACGACAGGCTCATGGACAAACTGATAGCTGTCACCAAGGTCTGTTTCTCCATCCTGCGGTCATCAACATTTGAAGAGTCGGTCAGGGAAGCATCTGTCACTCCGTCCACTTCACTCCTCCTAATCAACACGGGCTTGCAGGGCTTCATCATGTCCTACATGATGCCGAAAAGGCTGTGAGGTCCTGGCATCTACGGCTGGGTGCTGGCACAAAATTAACCTGACTCGTGTTCCTGCTCTCCCACTTTGTCGACTCCCTGACTTCGGTATACCCTAAAATACGGGATGAGGAGGTGTATATCTGTAACCTGTGCGCGGAAAAAGTCTCAGTGTGCTGTGCTTCGGATTTCGAGGCTTGCGGGATGAAAACAGGTGCCGCGCACAGAGCGCGAGATCAAATGTCAATTATTCTGTCAGCGTAGCAGCGCGTCGTTACTAATAAAAGTCGCTGTGGCATGAGAGTCATGATAACACCACTACTACTTATGATGATTATAATAATGATGATTATATTTAATAGCAACGATGTTTTTAGTCATTATCATAACCTAAATGTATTTTTCATCATCCCTTTAGAGATGTCATAGTTGGAACACAGAACAAACACTTCAACACAGTGCATTAAAATAGTATACAACATGGTCAGAGACATTGTGCAGAGAAGGCTCCCTTCCCCTCCCAGTCTGCTTCATTAGCAGACAAGACATTGAGCGATATGGGGACATGGACATCTCTACTCAGGACATGGTGCACAAGTGCTTATGAAGATTCATTAACACAGGTATATTTGGCTTCTCATTCAGTGGGTGTTGTTGATTTGTTGATATGCACTCAGCAGGGCATTCTGTAAAATAAGCGCAAGTACATCATTAGGGAGTGAAACTTAAATAAAGCTTTCTTCCTTAGCTGTCTGTAATAAATATATTTTTACCCCTCCAACTTTTTTCTCACTTGTGTGTGTTGACGTAGGTGCACGGTTAATTACATTTTAGTCATTTAGCAGACGCTCTTATCCAGAGCGACTTACAGTTAGTGAATGCATACATGTTTTTTTTTTTGTTTTTTTCATACTGGCCCCCCGTGGAAACGAACCCACATCCCTGCCGGCCAAACCCTCCCCTACCTTGGACGACGCTGGACCAATTGTGCGCCGCCCATGGGTCTCCCGGTCGCCGCCGGCTAGGATCTCTATTGGCACAGCTAGCACTGCGATGCAGTGCCTTAGACCACTGCGCCACACATCCTTTAAATAAAAGACTGGATTGCTGCCCAGAGTATTCAGCGGAAAAAAACCACTCCAGCTATTAGGCATAAAACGAGAGGATATTTATTCTTCCCCGTTGTTTTGTTCAGTGAGGCAGGCAGACATTAACGTAAAATCAAAGTTTTCTTCACATTTGTAGACTTGCATAAATAAATGATAATAAACTAATTAGCAGCAAGCAGCTTCAGTGACAGACAGTCCTACACAAGGGTATTCCTCTTCCCAACTCAGAATGCATAGTAAGCTACTCTGCCATGTCACCCCAGGGTGGAATTGAGTACAAGGGTGTTCTTTAATTAAGTGATAATGCACTCGAAGCCGGTGTTTGGAGGATATATTGACAAAGTCGAGGGCCTTCAAACCGTGCCAATATATCCTCCAAACACATCCTCCTCGAGGGCATTATCACTTTTATACAACGGGTTGCCAACATATTCAAATAATGATTGACATATTTACATTAAAAACTTTATTTTTATTAATTTATTCATACTATTTCATTCTTCCACAAGATATAGTACTTGCTAACCAAGCCGGCTGGTCATTCGTTCTATCAGTTCGGTTGCCAGAGAGGGGACCCAGTCCAGTCTTTTTGTTCTTTATCTATGGACGCGACCGGGTCGTTCGTTCTATGTTCCATTGCCGTAATGGCTGGCAACGTTCTTATCCCTTGATTGCTAGCTAGCCAACTACGGCTAATTTACAGTCACGTCAAAAAGTGCAGCCAGAGTAGCTTCATTTGCATTTGTTTAAGTTGTTTTCTTGAAACATTTATTTGGATACATCTATAACAATGAGCTAATGAGGCGCGATTTCGCCTGGCATAGAACATGTGCTCACTCATCAGGACACTGTTGTTCAGAGGAGCTAGCCAACAACACAGCTAAAATCACATCAAACTGAAGCTGGATAGACTGGCTGCACTTTTACCTTTTTTCAATTGACATTTCTTTGTATATATCCATAAAAATGATGCCAGCTGATTCATGATTTCGACTGGTTGAGAAACGCTGCCTGTCTGTCTGTCTCATCCCGACTCCGACAAGTTCATTACTATGGGACAGCTGGAGATCGAATTTGAATATTGAAACAATGTTGCAAATGTCGGAGAGACATTTATACAGTAGCCTATGTTCCAATAGGACCAGTTGACACCTACTTGGTCTGTCATAATTATTGTGTAGCACTTCATAACACGACCAAGTTCAGGTTCAGACAACAGTCATATTATGTTGGCTAGATAGAGGTTTCCACTAGTTACCACAGCCACCAAGTCAAAATGTAAGGTTAGGCATAAGGTTAGCAGCGTTGTTAAGGTTAGGGTTAGGTTTAAAATCACATTTTAAGAAGATAAATTGTAGGCGGGGATTATGACTTTATGGCTGTGATAACTAGTGACAACCCACACTGACATTTTCTCTCACTTCTGTGTGTCAACATGTGTAACCAACTTCACATATCCCCCCAGAAGAAAGGCACACGGACACCCACACTTCAGGTTGACTCGGTTTTTATCTGCAGTAAAATATATCAAAAAGTGACGACAGGCATTGACAGGACGGTCACAGCCACACGTTCACAGGTTAGGTAGGCCACAATATATATTTTAGATAGGAGTAACAGTAGTGATACATACCCTCAATGTGAAGTAATATTAATCCATAAATACAGAGCACAAGTACAAACCTTTTATATAAACCTTTTAAGGTAGTAAGAAAATAAACATTCACAATTTCAATAAGTCACCTGCTGGCAATAGCTAGCGTGACGTTGTAGTGCAGTGACCAACGGTGCTAGTTAGCTCATCATTAACATGGCTAGCTAAGCCAGCAAACTTGGTTAACTTGCTGAAATAGGTCTTCAATACATTAACAGCAAAGTAAATATATACATAGCCACATTTGGTATTGACTTTAGGATATATGAACCAGTTTTCCAAAAACACTTATGTTATACAGTTTTAAACCCTTTTTTATATACAGAGGAAGGAGACACGAACCTGCTCTCACAATATCTCTCTCAGACTGAGGAGCAGGCAGACCAACTTCCCAAATAGGGGAGAAGCACTCAAAACCCACTAGTTGTTCTTTCAAAAGAAAATAGTACAAAAAATGGTAAGTCCGAAGACCTCTCGTATTACCAACCTTACTACAATGGCAGCAAATATTTGTATGAATTCAGTAACACAAAATTAAAGGAAACTTTATTTATATCACCCCTTTTCCTGAAGTGAATGGTTTCACCCACTACTCTACCGCGAACTGCGGCGTTCTTTGATGTCTACATTGCGCGCGAGGTTGATGGAAACTACATTTTCACTTTGTTACACATGGCTGTCTGACCTCTATATTTACAATACTTTATAAGTATAAGAACTTATTGAGCACCACTATAGAGGTATTGGTAATATTATGTGGTCATTATCTACAGTGCCTAGTGAAAGTCTACACACCCCTTGCACATTCTTCACATTTTTGCTGCACCTCTTGAAAAGCCATTCTGGTGTGTCTTTGACATGACCAATGTTTAATTGTCCAGATGAAAAATGTAACTATCCCAGGGTTTTCAGAAGACTGACTGGGTTTTCCTCTAACTTTTTACTGGGCTTTGCTCCTTTCATATTTCATTTTAACATTAAACTCCCCAGTTCCTGCTGGTGACAAGCAAACTCATAACATGCTGCCACCACAATACTTGAAAATACAGAGGGTTGTATTGTATTGGATTCGACTCAAACATGTAGTTTTAAATTTAGGCCAAAAAGTTAATTTATTTGCTGTGTTGTCTTGCAGTATTACTTAATGGCCTTGTTGCAAACAGAATGCATGATTTGGAGTGAATTTTTTAACATAGATTTTCTTATTTCCCCTTTGTCATACAGGCCAGTAATGTAGAGTGAATGCAATGTTGTTGATCCTCTGTATTTTCAAGTATTGTGGTGGCAGCATCATGTTATGGGTATGCTTGTCAATGGCAGGGACTGGGGAATTTGTCGGGATCAAAATAAACATGAAAGGAGCAAAGCCCAGATAAAAAATGTCAGAACCTTGCCTCAATCTTGCCTCAAGCTCCCTAAAACACTTCAGCGAGCAGGCCTTTCTAATTGACCTGGCCTGGGTATCCTGGATGGATATTGACCTCATTCCGTCAGTAGAGGATGCCTGGTTGTTCTTTAAAAGTGCTTTCCTCTCCATCTTAAATAAGCATGCCCCATTCAAAAAATTCTGAACTAAGAACAGATATAGCCCCTGGTTCACCTTAGACTTGACTGCCCTTGACCAGCACAAAAACATCCTGTGGCGTACTGCATTAGCATCGAACAGCCCCCGCGATATGCAACTTTTCAGGGAAGTCAGGAACCAATATACACAATCAGTTAGGAAAGCAAAGTCTAGCTTTTTCAAACAGGAATTTGCATCCTGTAGCACTAACTCCAAAAAGTTATGGGACACTGTAAAGTCCATGGAGAATAAGAGCACCTCCTCCCAGCTGCCCACTGCACTGAGGCTAGGAAACACTGTCACTACCGATAAATCTAAGATAATCGAGAATTTCAATAAGCATTTTGCTATGGCTGGCCATGCTTTCCACCTGGCTACCCCTACCCCGGCCACCAGCTCTGCCCCCCCCCCCCCTCCTTCACCCAAATTCAGATAGCTGATGTTCTGAAAGAGCTGCAAAATCTGGACCCCTACAAATCAGCTGGGCTAGACAATCTGGACCCTTTCTTTCTAAAATGAGCCGCCGAAATTGTAGCAACCCCTATTACTGGCCTGTTCAACCTCTATTTTCTATCATCTGAGATCCTCAGAGATTGGAAAGCTGCCGCGGTCATCCCCCTCTTCAAAGGGGGTGACACTCTAGATCCAAACTGTTACAGACCTGTAT